TTAAATTCTCAATAAAATCGTATTTAAAAAAAAAACTTGCCAAATTTATATATAAATAACACGTGTGTCTTCTTTTCTTGTTTTCATTCATTAACAAAATGATTATATTAAACAATTGGTGACTGAATTAAACAATTTTCTGTTTGTGCATCTTTTTGTTGGTGTTTGGCATGTCTTAAAAACCACATTCTTGAAAAATTGTTTACGTTATTTTATAATATATTTATTTTAAAATAATTTAGTAGTTAAATTTATATCACCACGGTCACCATTCGAATATCGCTTAATAAAAAAGCAGCAGATCTGTTACAAACAAAGGTTTTCACTGAAAATAATAGCGTCCATGATACGGAGAACACCAGCGATTACTTCCAGCGACTATTTATGTCTCTACCCTAGCTACTTTGTTCTCCATTAAAGTTATTTTTTCTTGCCACAGACGCGCTACTGCAGTGATTTCGTAACCAACATGGTTTTAACCATTTATATACTAAATTAAGAGGTATATCTACCCAATAAATTTTTGATATGTGGTTTATGCTTTTCAGAAAAAAAAATAAAAACTAATTAATCACTATCCCTATTTCCTAGTACAAATGAGATATTCAACTATCATATTCTAATCTAGGTAGAGAACTGCGCTTTTGCGCGGTGCAATTGTCAAAAATATTTTTAAATTTGTTATATCTTTGTTTATAATTTCCATTGGATATTATATACCTTTTTGGGATATTTCTAGTTTTTCTTATAAAAAATAAATAATTTTCTCCTACTTTCACTTTTGATGGTTAATTAGTTTATAGCTGTAGAAAATTATCTATATTTCTTCAGTTTATTGAAAAAAATAAAATATTGATTTGATTGTTTTATTCCTCTCAAAATCAAAAATGTTTTGAATATGGATAATTAACTTATTTAATCGTGTTACGGTATACTTCTTCCATTTCAATTTAATTGACATTGTAGGTGTAAAATTTTCTTTTTAAATAAAGTGTCGTTTTATGATTTCAAGATAAAATCTATTAACTTTATATGATATTCTATTTTTATTGGTTAAATTATGGTTAGGTTTATAGGTAATGATGTTTTTATTTTGAAAATATGCAAAGTTTAATGTTTTCTTAATCTGTATACAGAAACTTAAAACAACCATTAAAATGAAATGGATAGAGTATTATTTTTGAATAAGATCTCTCTTTGTGATATTTATGATTTTATTAGTTTTAACATTTAATTTTATTTTATTTAAGCAATTATAGGTTTTAAAATCACAAAATTTCACATTAATTGAGATTGTTATTATTAATAGATCAAAACTAATAATTATATTTTTCGTGAAAAAAATAGAGAGGTATAGCTTTTCACATTAATACACTAACTTTTAATTATAAAAATTTTAGATATTTATGTGAAATAATAGTAAATGGATATGAGCAAACTAAAAACAAAAAAAAACACAATTTTTCATCTAAAAATTAATAAATGGGACTTTTTATGTAAACAAATTAAGAAATACAACGTTTCACATTAGGACATTGATTTTAAATTTAAAACAATTAAAAATATTCTTGTGAAGTATTAATGAATTAGTATGAACAAATAAAAATGAAAAGACACATATGATACATGTGAAATGTTGTGTCTTTCCATTATAAAAACTGAAATTACTTTAAACAAATACAACTTTTAAGAAGAAACAACACAATCTTTCACATTAATTGAGATTATTATTATTAATAGATAAATTTCAAAAGACTACCTCTCTAGCAATAAAAACTATACTTCTTTTGTTCGAATTTAAACTAGAATTTGACCCGCACATTCCTGCGGATATACTCTTTATTTTAGAAATATACATTTGATATTATTGTAAACATTTTAAATATATGATTTACATTTTAGTGTCATATATTGTGTAAATTTATAATTTTAATTTTTAGGTTTTTATTCAATATTATTAATTAATATATGATAACTTTTTAATACTTTTTACTTTGTTACTCAACTTTGTAAATAGATAATGATTTGTTTTATCCATTTTATACGTACTTATATATTTTTGAGTACAATACAATAAACTTATAATCTGAAATAATCAAATAGAAAATCACTTTTAATATATATATATATATATATATATATATTTATTTATTTTAAAAAAACCAATATACAGTTTGCATACAATACATTTTAGAATTTATTTTGCTATACCATAGAAATAATGTTTATTTAAGATAATTTATATTTTCATGTTGTTTTTAGAATTGACTTTAACATCTTGAATTTTATTATTGTGGATTTAATAAATAAATATATTATTCTATTTAAATAATAGCCATATTATTTTGTTAAAATATATATAGTCGCATCTATGATATTATTTTAATAATTTGATCACTATAAGATTTTTGGATATTATGGTATAAAGTTCTCTGATTTTTTTTTGTTTTTTAACGCACTCATATTTTTGTTTTTAAATTAAAATTTCAAATATTATTCTAATTTTGATTTTTACAATAGTATTTATTTTTCCGTGTTCCTTTTAAAAAAAACTACACTTTAGCAGCTAAGATTTTTCTTTTATATTTAGGATACTAGGGTAAACCCGCCCTACGGGCGGGATTTGATGAATCAGGTTTAATAAAATCTATAATTTTATGTAAATTTCATTTTATGTTAGTTTGAGTGTGAATATGATTTTGTTGTCTACAACAAATTTTAACTATATAACTAAAATTATTGAATTCTTAGTATTTTTCTCTTGTAATCCTAAATTGTAAAGTTTTATAGTGTTTTCAATTTTATAACACTATAAAATTTGGTCAAACGAAGATGAGATCCATATTTCCAATACCATTGTATTCTTTTTTGTGAGGATTATTTGTCAAAGTTATTGTAGTTGTTTTATAGAATGTTAATAATTGATATCATCAATAATTAAGCTTGATTTCGATAACTTTTTTGATAAATTATGATGTGTTTCCTTTATTTAAAATAAGAAATTATATATAAATTAAATATTTATTTAATATCAATCTTAAAACATGAATATAGATAATAATATTGATTAAGAAAATCATATATAAATTCTTTAAAATTTTAAAGTTGTAAATATATTTGCAAATAAAAACTATAAATTTATCATCTGATAAATTATGACCAAGTCACGTGTCGTATTCTGGTAAGCCTATTTACTGACGTGTTGAGAAAAAGTTTTCTTTATACATAAATATATTAAATTATTATAAGCCCGCAGATTAGTAAAAATTTAAGTATTCAGAATAATTATTTAATATTAATTTTTATTATTTTAAAATGTTCATATTAGTTTACTTTTGTATATGTTATTGTATTTGAAAACTAAAAAATTAAAACATATTATCTAAATAATTAGTTATGCATTTTATAATAAATATCAATTATTATTTTTTAGAATATGATTTTCTAATAAACCATGTTATCTGAATGATTGGATATGAACTAAAAGAAATACTACTTATTATTTTTTTAAATATGATTTTTTATTAAAAGGTTAAATTTTTTTTATTCTGTTTAGTAATTGGTGTTTTAATTAAAAATTAATAACTAAATGTGGTTATACATCATTTCTTGTGATTTTTTGGGGTTGAATGACCAAAAATATCAGTGAGATTCTTGTGTTTTTCGTTTTTGTTAGTAGAAAAGAAACAAACTTGTAAATAGATCCATATTTATTATTTTATTTAATTTTATTTTTTATATTTTAGTTGACTAATTTATATATTTTGGCTAAATTTATTTTTACGGTAGGTTTTTGTTGGAATTTTGTTTTAATTAAATGTATAATTAATTATAAAAATATTTATGTAATATTAGATACTTGCATAATGTAACGGAGGCGAAAGAATCTAATGTGATAGTGATCAATTTTGTTTATGCAGGATGTTTTACATAAACATATCATTAAGAGGACATAGCAGGAGCATGTCGTCATCTGAAATATAATTTATCATATATGATTATTTTTTTGTTTTTGTTTTTTCTAAAATTTAGTCATATACGGTTGTTAATATGAAAATTGCCGTTGTTGTAGTCGGTTTGTTTGTACCAAATTCAAATCACTGGATGGATGATTGAGAATGAAAATCATGTGTTTTGAATTGTCTTTGAGCTTTTGTAGTTGACTATACTTTTTAATTAATTGTGTTTTATACATATAATGGAATGTGATTTTGGTTATAGAATGCACGTAAGTTTTTGTAGTTGGACTATTGCCGTGGCCTCTGATTTATATGATTTCTATATGCTAGTTTTGTTTATCATAATGTCACATGTAACTTGGAAATTTTTACATTAGTTTGATCAGTACCAACTTCTTTCACTAATTAGGAGTGACAATGTCTTGTAATATATTCACATATTTATATTATGTAATTATATTTATATGCATTTTGTATGCAGATTCTAAAAGCATTTGAGTCATATTTGTTATCATAATAATTTTTATAAGCCTTGAGACGTTTTCAAATTACATGCTACTGTTTCTTAACGTGAGAACAAACACTTCAGTACTGTATTACAATAGCTATCCATTTGTTGCCTACAATACTTTATGTAGAAGTGAGTTTTATTTAATTCCATGTGTAATTTATTTATACGTAATCATTATTTTCTCTTGCATAAAAAATCTGACATTAGAGTTGGAACAAACCCATATTCTTCTTAGCTGAAAGTTCTTTCACTAAGAAAATAGGTGAAAGTTTGATCCAAAAAAAAAAAAAAAAGAAGAAGATAGGTGAAAGTGACACAAATAAAGAAGAGAAAAACATCATAAGTTAAAATTCTACTCTTTGTTCTCATCCAAACGATTTACCTAAAAACAATCCAATATGATCCAAGGTGGTGCATAGTCCTTAAAAACAGAGCAACGGTGTCTAATATTGATTAATGACTCAGTGACAATTTAAACTACCCCAAATATAAAGCATGTCGATTAAAAAGACTACTCCTACAAACACCTCATGATCCAAGGTGATAAAGTTGAGAACATCCCTCTGGAGCCTCCACTCCTCATAGATATAGTGAGAAGCCAAATACACGTAATTAGAATTGTCCGGGAAGACCAGGTTGATCTTACACTCTAAATTATTCAAAGCATGTTGCACCCTCTGCTTTTTTTAATGTAAATGTTCATACATGTTTCCTCAATGGTGCTATAGCCACAAGTTCATATGCCCCAAGATTCATAGAAAACACTTTGAAGGCAATATGATCAACCATACGTAACGAAAACCGGGCTATATTCATACGTGCAAGATCAACCTGACCCCTTCCTTGACTAAACCTTCCTCCTCCTATGCTTCCTCGCTCACAACAATCTCGTCACTATGTTGATCCTGATCAAACTTATGCCTAATGTAACCGTCTTTCAGCTGACTCTCATTGAGACTGATAGTAGCAACTATCACTGGATTCTCCTTCTTCCTTCTCTTGGGAGTTCGCAGCTGAGACATGTTATGATTGGTTATTTCGAGACAACGCATGAGATGGTTCCTGAGATGCGTTGTCCATCTGTTGCTTGAACTGGTGAGTTTCTTATTACATTGAATGAAACAACATAGCACACACCCTGGCAAAGTAGTTCCAGAGAACAGACGCCAACCTATTTGATTTCTGGACTATAATCTCTTTTGATTCATCCATCACACCAAAAAGCTCGCTGCAGCACCAAAAAATCACTACCCATTGATTACGACAACAAACTTTAGATTCAAAAAACAAAAACTTTGAGAGCTGCAAACATATTCTAAAACACCTAATAACAATCACCATCAGTATGACACAGTTGTATTAAAAAAAAAGCATCATCATAACCAAAGTTAGTACAAAAGAGATAAAACTGTGCCACAATAAAACAATTCGGCCTGGAATATAGTAGATACCTATCAATTTTAATGGTAGCCAAGACAAGATCTTTGCCTTGTAAAGGGAATACCAGTTTGAATCATGAGATCGAGCAACAGAGGATCACCTGGAAGTTTGGCGTCGGTGTTCGCTAGACCAAGCAGTTCATCAGGGATTGGTCGAACCGGTGTGATTATCTCTTTGAAAGTCGTTGTCTCATTGAATCGGATGGATATAGGAGGCAGAAAGGTTGAAATTTAGATGACTGGAGTCACATCAAATCCACTGACGAAGTACTTAATCCGCGTTGAGAAGATGCTTGAAGGTATACAGCTATGAACGTTTCCTGCAAATTATCGAACGTAGGCTGGGGAAGAAAGGTTGGAGAAACCTAATCGATAAGTGAAAGGATGTTTTCCTGAGCTGGATATTTCTAAGCGAATGAGCCCAAAAATTTATGTACGAAGCCCGTATGATTTGTTAGCAACACGATCCAATTCTTTGGATTTGATTTATGACATCACTTGCTGAGGTGGGGGAAGGAGAAGAGAGTACACATCTTCTTTATATATAAAGACTATGGTTAACCCGCCCGTAGGGCGGGTATGCAAATAGAAAACTATTCAAAAAATATTAATCGATAAAATACATTTAATTTTTTTAGTTTATTATATTTTTAAAGTTAGATTATATTGAATATTTTTTAATTCTTGTTGAAAATAAGAAGCTTTTAATTTTTAAAAAAAAATATGATGCAAATGTCATATTTTACATTTTTCTCAGTCTTTATACTTTATTTATTATAATCAGTAAGTAAAATACATTAATTTTCTCGAAGTTGTAGTTGAAAAATAAATTATGAATTATTTTAACCCTTTATACTTTTGTTTTAAATCTACTGAGACCTTTATTTTTTTATTATAGATTTTCTTTTAGACATGTTGATTAAGATATTACAAAAAAAAAAAAAAAATCGATTCACCATATTCTTTTTAATTAGCTAGATAGTACACTAATATAATACTGATTGTTACTATTTAAAAGTATAAAATGTAATCAAATAAACACATTATCCAAACTGATTAGTTTTTTAATATATTATTGTTTAGTTCTCAAAAATATAATTATTGAGGGTTTTAGTACTTTATATTACTTTTTGTATTTGATTTTATATTGGTTTCTTTGTATAACTAATCTATTTGTTATTAAACAAATTTATTAAAATCGTTTTAATATTTATTAAGTATTTGAGATTTATATAATATAATATCTATATCATATTTTTATTAAATTATAGATATATATCATGATGAAAATATATTTATATGCTATGATTTCAGGCACATTTGTTTCCCGAATCATTTAAAAAATATATAATCACAGCACTGAATATTCAATGTTGAGGAAACATACAAAAAGAAAGGTTTTCAGAATTCTTATTATTAACCCAAATTCTTCACAAACTACAAAGTCCGCAAAAGAATTGTCGGGTACATCATTACTCCCGCTCTGAACTTGAACAATCACATCCTGGTCATTAGCTAGAGTAACTCGATGAACCCGTTCTATCAACAAAACAGAGAGCTCACTATCAAAAAAGCATGCGAGTGGCTTCTTTCTTGGCTTGGAGATACACGTGCAATCCAGGGGAAAACAGTCCTAAGGATTTTACAGAAGCGTTTTCCAATGGTTCGTTAGCAAAATAAGTGACCAGAATTTCCAATGAATTCTTTAAATTTGAAAAATATATATAATCGAAAACCGGCTGGTTAGCAGCCTGTGTCTGGAAATTTGAAAGAAATATAATCGAAAACCGGGGGTGTCGGAAGGTGGCGACACGATTGACATCCACGGTGGCAGCATGAATGACAGACTGAAACACATGTTTTAAAAAAGCCAAATCAACAAAAAGTTCAAGATTTATCATTCAAAAGAGTATGAATAAAGATTCAGAGTTTTACATATTTATGAGTTTAAACGCCAGAATTTGTTTGAGCATAAATTCAATAATGGAATACCTTAGTGTCGACGACGATCATGTCAACTCCCATCAACTCACCACCTTCAGATCAGCAAGTAGAAAGATTGTTTAGCCATTATACCGAGGAAGAAATTGTAAGAGATCTAGTTTCCCTTGAAGATTACTTGCATTGATACGTTGGTTATATAATACATACAAGTGAGATATTCTAGGAGAATATACAGAGAATAATATCTGTCGATATCTTAACTATACAATGATATACTTATCATCTAATACCCTCCCTCAGTCGCAGCGTGGACTCTGTTACGCCAAGACTGGATCGAAAATTGTTGAATAGAGCAGATGGTAAGCCCTTTGTGAAAATGTCTGCATATTGTAGAGCTGAAGGTATATGCAGAACTCGTACTTGTCCCATGTGTACTTTTTCGCGCACAAAATGAATGTCTATCTCAATGTGCTTCGTTCTTTGATGTTGAACTGGATTTGTGGACAGGTACACAGCGCTCACATTGTCACAATAGACCACCGTTGCCTGCGAGAGAGGTCGGCCCATTTCAAGTAGCAAATTCCTTAGCCAACATGATTCAGCCACTGCATTTGCAACTCCTTTGTACTCTGCTTCAGCGCTGGAGCGAGACACAGTTTGTTGGCGTTTTGCTGACCAGGAGATAAGGTTGTCGCCTAAGTAGAGACAGTAACCTGATGTTGATCTTCTTGTGTCTGGACAGCCGGCCCAATCTGCATCGGTATAAGCAGTAAGTTTCATGGATTGGTGTTTCAGGAGCTGTAAACCCATAGTCTTTGTGCCTTGTAGGTATCGGATCACTCGTCTTAAAGCCTGCATATGTGTATCGCGGGGAGCATGCATAAAAAGGCACACTTGTTGAACTGCGTAGGAGATGTCGGGGCGAGTAAATGTTAAGTATTGCAAAGCGCCAGCTAGACTCCTATACTCCGTTGGATTAGTGAGAGGCTTGCCATCGTCTTCTGAAAGTTTAGACTTCATATCGACGGGGGTGGAGCAAGGTTTACATTCTGCCATGCCAGCGCGTCTGATGATTTCTTCAGCGTAGTGTGATTGATTCAAGAATAGGCCTTTGCTGTTGAACTTGGCTGAGATTCCAAGGAAAGAGTTTAGGCTGCCTGAATCGGACATCGGGAATTCGGCTTTGAGGGCGGCAATGACACGCTCTTTGAGTTGGTTTGTTGATGCTGTCACAATAATGTCGTCAACATAGAGTAGTAGATAGGCTGTCAGTCCATTTTTCCTGTAAACAAACAAGCTCGCATCCGATTTGCTTTGAATAAAACCATTGTTAGTAATAAACGCAACAAATCTTGCATTCCAAGCTCGTGGAGCTTGTTTCAGTCCATAGATGGACTTCTTGAGTTTACACACATGGTTTGGTTTTGAAGGATCAACAAAGCCTGGTGGTTGAAACATGTAAACCGGTTCATCCAAAGTGCCGTGTAAGAAAGCATTCTGAACGTCTAGTTGATTGATATCCCAGCCGTGCATGAGGGCAACATGTAAGACGGCTCGAATAGTTGCTGGCTTAACCACCGGACTGAAAGTTTCGTCAAAGTCGATGCCTTGCTCCTGAGACTTGCCATTTGCGACCAGGCGAGACTTGTTTTTCTGGAACCTGCCTTCTGCATCATACTTATGTTTATATAGCCACATTGAACGAACAATATTAGTATTTGGTGGCCGTGGGACAAGATCAAAGGTCTCACTTTTAACTATAGCATCGTACTCAACTTTCATGGACGGATTCCAATTAGGATCAGCAAGAGCTTGGATGTGATTTTTTGGAAGAGAAGAAGAAGTTTGAGTATGAAGAGAGAAAATCTGTTTAGGCTTAGTAATACCATGTTTAGAACGGGTAGACATGGTGTGCCGTGGAACCTCTCTTGCCGCTTGGGCAATTTGAGTTGACGCCTCTGGTTGAGGTTGAGTCGCAACAGTTGGAGAAATAGTTGGTGACTCGAGAATGCGGCGGAAGATAGGTGAGGGATCATTGTCCGCGTTTAAGAAGTCATACGTCGATTCAGATTGAGGAGGAGAATCGCTATATGGGAAGGAGGTTTCGTCAAAACGCACATGACGAGAGAGAATGATTTTCTTTGTGGACAAGTCGAAGCACCTATAACCTTTATGATTTTGAGGATAGCCAAGAAAAATGCACTTAGAAGAACGAGGAGAAAGCTTGTGATTGTTAGAATGATTGATATTAGGATAGCATAAACAACCAAAAACTTTTAAATGAGTGTAAGAAATGGGTTTTTGAAAGAGTACCGAGAAAGGAATTTTGTTGTTTATTGCTTTTGTGGGAAGGAGGTTGAGAATGTGGACTGCGGTATGGAGAGCTTCTACCCAGAAAGTGGATGGTAGATGAGCATGGAAGAGGAGACTGCGCACGGCATTATTGATTGTGCGTATCATCCGTTCCGATTTTCCGTTCTGCTGCGACGTATGTGGGCAAGAGAAGCGGAAGGTTATCCCATTGTTAGCAAAATAATCATGAAACTCTGAGTTATCAAACTCACCTCCATTGTCACATTGTAATGACTTAATTGATTTCCCAAACTGAGTTTTAATATAGTTCGAGAAATGAAGGAATTTAGAGAAAGTTTCGTGTTTATACCGCAGGGGATAAACCCAGAGAAAGTGGGAGTACTGATCAAGAAAGAGAACGTAGTACTTAATCCCGCTTAAGCTCTGAATCGGTGAAGTCCACAAGTCCGAGTGAATGATTTCGAATGGTTCATTGACAGTAGTTTGAGAAGTAGAGAAGGGAAGCTTTGTTTGTTTTGCAATTTGACAAGCTGAACACAAATGAGAAACATCACGTTTATTGCAAGATAAAGCTGAAGTAGAAATCAAAGAATTTAAAACATGAGTACTGGGATGAGCCAGTCTATTATGCCAAATATCAGAAGAAACAGAAAACAAAGCAAGAGGTTGAGACGTCGCATTATTGAGGTTTGATCGGAATGGATATAGTTCTCCTGTGCTATCACTGCGGATAATAGTCTTCCGCGTTTTGAGATCCTTCACAGAAAAACCAAGAGGATCAAACTCAACAGAACAAGAGTTATCTTTAGTAAAGCGACGGACAGATATGAGATTTTTAATAAGAGATGGAGTGACAAGAACATTGTTAAGAGATAGAGGACGTGAATGAGTTGGAAAAGAAACATAGCCAGAAGAGCTAATCGGAACCTTACCACCGTTTGCCACAGTAACTGTTTTTCCGATGCTATGGTTAAAAACAGACTTAAGATTACCTGCCCCATTTGTGAGGTGTGCCGTAGCGCCTGAGTCCATGTACCATTGTCCGTCTTGTGGTTCGATCATCGTCATAGTGTTGAAGGCGGTCGCAAAATCAGCTGTGGGGACCATTTTCTGATTGTTGGCGTTTGTATGCGGACCTTGTAGCAGCTGCTGTTGAGGACATGAACCAAGGATGCCTTGGTGAGGATGGAACGATTGTGGTTGTGGAGTCCAAGGATTGAACTGTTGGGGGGACCACATCGGATAACCACCTGGCCAAAACGGAGAGCTCCAGTGTTGGTAGGAAGGCCGTGGTTGATTGTTGTTGTAGCGGCCTCTGCCGCGGTTTCGGCCCCTGTTGCCTCTGCCCTGGAAGTTGCGTTGCTGCTGAGGTTGAGAAGCTGGATTCTTCTCCGGTGTTGCGGTATCGACGTTGAGGACCTTTGGTGACGAGGATGATTCATCTTTGTGGACAGACGATTTCTTACCCTTGCCTAAACGTTCTTCCTCCAACATCAGCATGGATCTTGCTTGAGCAAATGTTGGAAACGGTTCGCGATGCATAATCACATTGATAATGTTATCATACTTAGCGCTTAGTCCATTGAGGAGATAGGTGACGAGAGCTCTGTTGGAGACGGGTGCATCCACGTTTGCCATGAGATCGGCAATGGACTTGAGTTCCTGGCAGTAGGCGTGGATTGAGAGATCACCAATCTCTTGTGATCGTAACTTGTGGTCAAGCCGAATGGCTCGAGCCTCTTTGTTGTCCCGGAAGAATTTTTCGATACGAATCCAGATCTCATTAGCAGTGCCGCCGGTTTTGAAAACACTCCGAAAGAGATTTTTGGATAGTGTGCCGTAAATCCAGAGTTTAACGACACCATCTCTTTTGGTCCACATATCATCACCGTCGGCATCAGGAAGAAGAGTGCCGTCAAGGTGACCTGCAACATCGAAACTCTGACAGTGAGTCATGAAGAGTTCTCTCCAGGCATCATAGTTGCCGTCGTCAAGGTCGAGGAGAAAGGGAATGTGTGTTTTGATGTTGGTGACACCATAGACACGGTCGAGTTGTTCAGCAACGGGTAGAAGACCAGCCATTGAAACGAAGAAATGAGAGAGGATGAAAAGAAGAAGAAGGAGAAGAGGAGGAGGTAGAAAGAAAAGAATGGGAATTTGCGGAAGAGGTTCAGGAAGAGGAACCCTCTGATACCATGTAAGAGATCTAGTTTCCCTTGAAGATTACTTGCATTGATACGTTGGTTATATAATACATACAAGTGAGATATTCTAGGAGAATATACAGAGAATAATATCTGTCGATATCTTAACTATACAATGATATACTTATCATCTAATAGAAATATCGAATTAAATTGGAATTGTGAGAATGATTCTCAATGGTTGAGGCCTTACCTTTTTATAGGTGGTGATCCATCGCTTGGAAGAGGATTAAGAGACATTGAATGCGAGATGGGTTTAGTGAATAGAAAGAGTAAAGAACTCGTAACGCTGTGAGGAGAAATACATAACGACACCAACAGACATACGAATCATTTATCGACGAAGACTCGTTTCTCTGAGAATTTCAAAGACTCCATGCATGTTAGACCTAAGGAGATTTGCAGTAGGTGATGAACCACGAACGGCGGAAACAACTTTGCAAAGAGGAGGCGGATGACGTCCCAGGATCCCGTATGTTTACAGCCCAATAAAGTATGTTCATGCCCACATAATACCACTACCACACATGTAAAAGCCCATTAGAAACCATCTGGATTTGAGTATTTGTTACGTAAGGGAACTACACGTGTCATACTCTTTTTGTTCTAATTAGTGACGTGTCACTTTAAAAAGATAGAAAACTATACTTTATTGTAATAGATTTGTTAGCAACACGTGTCCAATTCTCTGGATCTGATTTATGACATCACTTGCTGAGATGGGGGAAGGAGAAGAGAGTACACCTCTTCTTTATATATAAAGATTTTAAATTTGAGTTTAGAATATCCATTTTCAAAATTGTATATTTTATCAAGAAATGTTTTCTAAATTACATTTTTTATTTTGAAAGATTATATGACATTAAATTTTGTTTGTTACTAAATTAATGCATTATTTATGAAAAGATTTTTTATGTTTTGGTAACACTTTTTATATTTTTCTTAATTTTTATTTAATTAAAAAAAAACTTTTGTAATGTACTTCTCTTTTAATTTTTCAATATGTTAATTTTTCAATTTTATATAATATTTTTATTTTATTCGCATAGTACTTCTCTTTTAATATATAAACTATAAATATGAAATTTATAAATTGCATATAATTTTTTATAGTAAAATTTTAGTTTATGTTAATGTATATTAGTATTATATTAATAATTACGAATTATTTTTTATTGCACTATCTTTAAAAAATATATAAAAAAATTTTAGTAAGATTTTGTTAGATTTTCTCAACGGAAATTGTTATAACTAAGAATAAAATTTAAATATATTTCTCTTCATCATGTTTTGTTATATATTTAATTGATTAGTGTAATAATAGAAATGTCATATTAATTAAATTAATCAAATGGTCCTACTAAGACTTGTATATAGTAGAATTAAGACTTTATTTTAATAGAGTAGATGAGGTTTTAGAAATTTTCACACATATTTAGGAGACAAACATAATACCTATTCTATATTCCTTTTGTATTTAATTAGTTTACTCTATATTATTATTACGACATATCAAATTAAAAGGGTAAAAAGTCACTTTGTATTACTTTATGACGTAAACGTCAAGTAAAAGAAATAAAATAAACATGATGGACAGTTGTGCAATTAATAGAGGGCTAAATAATTTGATGGGATATAAATATAATGAACCACATTTAGCTATATTTAGTCCACAAACGCTTTAGAGACTGCAACGTTTCAACAAATCAATGAAGTTTGAAGGGAAACTGTGATTACTAGTTAAACCACTATGCTTTAGTTTGTGTTACCCCTACATACCAACAAGGCATTGGATTTACCAGAATATATAAGGAGGAAAGGAATATGAGGGATAACCTTTCTCAAGCCATTAGTGCATCATTTTCAACCTGAAGAACATAGTGGTAGCAAGTCACAATCAGTGTCCATATGAGTAAGATTCCCCTTCTTTAAACAAACAATTGTTGTTCATTCCCCAAATGGCATATATGATGAGACAGTTACATTAAGAAATTTTGGAATCCTGTGACACTTCTTCAGTAGACATTAAGACAAGACGCTGGTTACTATCTGGTTGCTCAATGACGGTAAACAACTTTTGCTTAACATCCAAAACAGTCTTTGTCGGATCACATTTGATAAAGTAAGTGGCTTTCATGCGCTTCACACGAATATACATGTTCTGCAAACAAGATTTAACACAAACTATTCAAAATCCTATAACCAACTGATTTCTCAGGACAAAAGGTCTCAGTTTTTTTTTTTTAATTAGAAAAGCTCTCAACTTTTCCCAGTTTGTAATAATCGAGTGAAGATGAGTTTACTAAAAATAGAAAAACACATCATATGAAACCAATGAAGTAGAAACAAATATGTGAAGATCATGGCTACACAACGCTGAACAATCTCTCTTCTTCTGCTCCCGATTTTGATTGAGATTAAATGATATAAGATAAGCTGACCATGAGAATGGAAAATCTTTGAAAGCTAGCTTCTTTTATTTCGATCTATCAATGACAAGAAGCTCTCTCGGTACTCAGCTGTACAAGGTAACGAAGATGAAGTTTAGTTTGGTTCATGAGTCGCCCATGCATAGCACTATTGCATTGGTCTGGTTCATCTCACCAATTACTCCGTTTAATTTAAGAAAAAAAAATTAGTCTATTTTCGAGCGAAATGTTTATTTCTGTCATTCTTTGACCAAATTTTAATTTGAGCCAATTAGCCCAATAACAGAGAGAAGGATTCCCAATCATAAGTTATTACAAAAAAAAAAAGAAAACTACAGTATTCTCTTCTTGAAAAGAAATAATATTACTGCCTTGCGTTTCGATTCTCCCCATGTCATTCTGAAAAGAAAAAATCAAAATATTTTGCTGCTTAAAAACTAACGTTGTATTCTTACAGTTGATTAGTTATGATATCTTGTAAGGGTTTCCACAAATCTGAAATATTTTCTGCGCAGATTTGAGATCTCTCAATCATGGAAATGTTCTGTTTAGCTAGTTTTGAGATAGTTTAGTTTCTATGTTTCCCTCGGTGTTCTTTCTCATTTGCATCTTCCATGTCTATTACATGTCCATCATGTATTCAAATCCGTTTGTTTATATGTCTATGTTTGGAATCGTTGATTGCGTATTCGTGAACTTTGTTAACTAAACCACCACCCATCCACTTAGTGTTTTACAGATCAAATCTTGAATCTGATTCTGCAGTTGCGAGACTGCTGATGGTAAGTTCAGTAGATATGAGCTCTTGATGGCGATAAGTGGGGTTGTTCTTGCTTCGCAAGTGAAGGTAAATGAATTGATCTTGTTGGACTCTGCAACATAAAAAGATTTTTTTTTTTTTTTGGGTTCAAACCAACTTTCATAAAACTTAGACTCCATCACTGGAGTAATTGTTCAACAAGTACAATGACACATCCAAACAAGCTAAAGAAACTGCTGCATCAAAGGTAAAGCATGTAACATAAACATAGATATATACAAACATAACACAGAAGCAGCTTTAGAGTGAACTCCTAGTGCTAATCGGTGAGCTGCTACCCAAACATGCTGCAGCAACAAATGCATGGAAAGCATCAAGAAACAAGCACCTTCTTGATGAGCCTTGGAATTGTGAGGAGATCCTCAACCATAAAAGGGTGTGGAGTTGCAAGAACCACCACAGACAGACAAACAAGTCTGAGATTAAAGAGCCAAGGTTCGCTTTTTTGAATCCATCTCCTATCTTTCTGAGTAGTAGTATACCTGCAACAACGTCAGAGAACACTACCCAACATACAGAAATATTGTAATGAGGACAAAGAGAGATTTTGAATAACAACCTCATGCTGACAGTTTACATAGCCTGCAAACAGTATTAACACATACTAATCAAAATCGTATAAAGTTGTTGAGTATGTAAAGATTTCTCAGGCCAAAACTTTTGACTTTCTCAGTTAAATAAAGACAGAATGATCGAATAAAGATGAGTAGACTAACAGAAACTAAACCCATCAGGTTAAACCAATAAAGTAGAAACATATATGTGGATACCATGGCAAGACGACAAGGATGAACACTCCCTCTTCTTCTTGTCCCGATTCCGAGTGAGATTGAGTGTACAAGGTAAGGAAGATGAAGTTCCAGTTCGGCTTTAGGTTTAAGATTGTTGTCCGTTAAGCGTTGTGGAAAACCCGCTGGAATAGAAACATTGTTTTGTTTTGTATATTACTCTTCTAAAGTCCCACATCGTTAACAAAACAAGTGAGGAAGACATGAGAACTAGTATTAAAGAACAGGCCACTCATTTAGACAACTCATACCTTTCTCGGCCTTTTGGCTAAGATCAAGTGTAGTATCTGTTCTTATCAGTTTAATATCTGATATGTGGCTCATCGGGTCACACGATATTAACTTTATTTTTTGAGGGAGAAGATCCAATAAGATAGCTTGCTATCTGGATCTTCATGAGTCACCCGTGCGTTGCACTACTGCACGGGTCTGGCTCATCCCGCCAATTACTAAGTCTAATTTTTGTAAATGGGCCTAAAAACTTTAAATCGTGTAAACTTGCTGTAACGATAAAAGGAGTATTGGGCCTCTGATAAAAACTCTGTAATATGACTCATCTGTCTGAATTATTATATTAACCGTGGTAATCATACTAAATTAAACTTTAGATGTCGGCTGGATCGTGATTAGGTCAAAAAGCATTTGACAAAATATCATTTTTAATAATCTCCCGAGAAAATGCGAATAGCTCATTTGCATGATTATAATGTCCCACGTTGGACGGTTTGGACAAATATTTGGTCGGCTTATTAAAGATTATACTATACTATTACAGAACCTTCGACTTCGTTTTGTCGATCTGAATTCTCCGATTTTCCACCATTTCCTCCTCCATCGGTGGAAAAAAACTCAAATCGGAGAGATTCACCGCCGCGTTCAATTCCAAATAACACTCTCGATCTCATCTCCTCCTCCTTCCTGATCGCACATTAACAAACAACAGATCATCAAAACCATAATCGGAGAATAGAAGATGGTGGAGAGAACGATGAGTTTAGGGGTCGGAATCAACGGAGAATCCTCCGGCGTTAGAGAAACCATGTGGGCACAACAAGAGCTTCTCCAAAAAATCAACCAAGAACTCGACGCTGAACGTGAAGCCTCCTCCTCCGCTGCTTCCGAGGCCTTGTCGATGATTCTTCGTCTTCAAGGAGAGAAAGCAGCGTTGGAAATGGAGGCTAGTCAGTACAAAAGAATGGCTGAGGAGAAGATGTGCCACGCCGAGACTTCTTTGGTTCTCTTTGAAGATCTGATTTACCAGAAGGAAATGGAGATCGCTTCTCTCGAGTTTCAGGTTCAGGCTTACCGTTGTAAACTCCTTAGCCTTGGATGCTCTGATCCCGCCGTGGTTGAGAACAGGTTCCCGGAGAATCTCGTCTTCTTTGGGGATACCTCTCGTGTTAACCAGAAGAGGAAGATGAAACGAAACTTATCGGTAAAAAAGCCAATTTCAAGATTTTATTGTTATAACAAAATGTAAAACAGAGCTCTCTGTTTCTTTGTCTAATATAAAACAGAGCTCTCTCTACAAAAAAAAAAAACTGTTTCTTTGTTTATATAAAACAGAGCTCTCTGTTTTAACCTCTGTTTCGAGATTGAAAAGTCAAAACTTTGTTAATTTTCAGAACCCGTTCGATGGCATGACAAGTGAGAGAAGCCTACTCTTGTCTGATAACGAAGGCTTTGAGGAGAAGAGAGATGCTGAGGATTCTTTATCTCCACGTGAAGACTTGAGTACTTATTGGGAACAGATCAGGAGAATAGACGATCATGTCCGAGAGATTTCGGAGTCAAGAGATGTTCCAAAGGAATCTAAATGGCCTTTGATCAAGCGTGAGTCTGTATCACATGCGTTGGTGTCACAGGTGAGCAATACTATCCTCGAGTCAGCAAAGAGTGATGTCAATACTATCATGGAGATGATGAAGAACCCTGATAAAGTCTCTTCCAAAGATGACTCTCCGATTCGGTCTCCGAATGTTCAAGACATCTTTGAGGTTCCGAGGACGAAAGAGAGTCTTTTTATCATCTCGGAAGAAGAGGAACATGAAGAAAGAAATGTAAGTCATCATCATCATCTAATCTTTGCTAAAAAAAACAGATTAGTTAAAGTGTTAAAGAATCACAGGGCAGAGGCAAGATTGTGAGTAAGCCACCGAGAGATATGAGCATCAAGGCAGAACATATGAGTTTGCTAAAGGAGATTCGAGAACAGCTCAATGGAATGCAGTCAGAGATGAGAAGCTTAAGATCAGAACTGCATCTAACTCCACCTGTGTCCTCCCATCGCTTGGAGGATCCAGCCCTTAACTCAATTCAAGAGGTAATCACTCTTCTTTATAATTGGTGAGAGATTGCTTCAAAATAACATTTGGTTTTGTTTTTTGGAAACAGGCCATGATTCACTTCTGGCTTTAGAAGAGTCTACAATGCGTGGCGGCGTGGTTCTAGTTTCTCATCTTAAGTTACTTAACCATCCATTAGTAATGGAGGTGATGTAAAAAGAAACTGATGCACATAATCAGTTTGTATGTAAAAACCATTGTCATTGTTGCGATAAGAAAAAAATTATTACATTATAAGAAGAAATTTATTAAAGTTGCACCACACTCATGATGGTTAAATTTTAATGGTTCATTCAATTAAGAGGAGCTGATGCAGAAAATGCAGGAAGGGTTAGCAGAACGGTTATCAATATCAAGAGTGGCGCCCTTTAAACACTTGAAGTGGTAGACATGACCACAAGCCAACACACACGCCTCTTGTAAGGTGCGCAAAGAAGCATTAGGACGTTCCGGATCAGTTGCTAGATCTCTTTGGCATAAGTCGCATGAGTGTCCAACTTTCTCAACAGTAAACACCTTGTCAAGCTCTGCAAAAAAGAGTTCAAAATTACTACACTAAAAAATTATATAAGCTCAAGTATTGGCTCAGGAGGATAAGGTTATACCATCTTTTATATGCGACGTCGATTTACTCGGATTAGCCCAATTCGGATCCTGAGTAGGGGCCGTCTTGATGAGATGACGTTGTATTTCTCTAGAGAGGTTTTGAAGATCAGCTGACTTGGAAGCAGATGATCCAGAAGTGGCGTTCTCAATGTTCTGTTGAAGCTGAGAGAGCATCTCTCTACTCATCATCAGATCTTCTACACGGACTTTTTCTTTTTTCGAATCCATGTTAAGTACAAACTCCCTGACAGGAAGACAAAACTTGTGTATTAATCTAAGACAAAGAGAAGAAAGTATAAGAAAAAAGGACAGCGAAGTCAAAATTTGTTTGACTTGTACGATGACACAAGTCGTGTTGAAACTTGTGTAAGAAGATAATAGGTTTACGAAGCAAGTGCAGTTTAGGGTTAAGGTTAAAAACAAGGAATCAAAGCGTCTTAAAGCATTAGAACCCACAAACCAAATTCGAATGTTTGAAAACGATTTGTTATATTAGTTTTTTCCATACTCAATCAAAGATGAGTTCGATATATTCCTTAGAAAATCAAAATCAAACACAAGAAGAAAAAAGATGGCGAAGAGAGAAACTCGAAGAACCTGTTGTGTGTCGACGAGTAAAGTTGGAAAAGGGAGAGGTTTTAGATTCCATGTTTTTATAATGTAACTTATCAAAAAGTAAATGTTTTTGATTATGTTGACTGTTTAATTGCATTTAAATCTATACCATATTTAAACATTCGATAATGACCAACTGTATATATGCATCTCCCAGATAAATATTAGTTTAATTAGATATTAATGTATAAACAGTAGAAGGAAGGAAACAAACAAAAAAAAAAAGTTGAAGAGCAATTGTCATTCAAGAGTTACATTACTTTTATGGAAGGAAAATAATGTTTTACTACTACTTTTCTAGGTTTTTTTAATGATAGATTAACCAATTATCAGACTATAAATTTGGAAGGTGAATTCATAGGTTAAGAGTCTTAAGACTTAAGACTAAAAGAGTAAGAAACATTATTGAACTTAAGACTTAAGACTTAAAGACTAAAGGAGACACTAAATTGTATTCCATCTATTTTATTAAGATTCATGTTTTAGAAAAATAATTTGTTTCAAAAATATATATTCTTTTATATTTTCAATATATCTTTTGTCAATTAATAATGATTAATTATTAGTTTGAAGACAATTAATTGCATGTACTAACTTTTATGGTTTTAAATTATGAAAAATAGATAATTTAAAACAAAAATATTTCATACTTAAATTTAATTTATTTTATTAATCTGTGTATAAAAGGAAAAACATGTACATATTAAATGTCACTTTAGCTTTATACATCTCTATTATTAAAAGAGAAGTACCCACTAAAAAATACCTCTAAATTTTCCAACTTATTTACACTCATATGCCACTGAGAATTTAATTAAACTTCCTATTTAAATGCTTGTCTTTTTCAGTTATATTAATTAAACATCCTATTTAAATGTTTGTCTTTTTCAGTTATATTAATGAGTTATTTAATCAACCAAAAAATATCTGCATCACTAACATGTCTTTTTCACGTATATTAATGATAACTCATTTACTGCATCACTAACATCACTGATATATTACATGCATCTAAAATGTGTATCAATAAAACGTGCATCACTAATATAATATAGAGAAATATAATATTAACTAACACACAATATAACATGTGCATGTATTAACTATATTGGTTTATATAATGTATNATCACTAACATGTCTTTTTCACGTATATTAATGATAACTCATTTACTGCATCACTAACATCACTGATATATTACATGCATCTAAAATGTGTATCAATAAAACGTGCATCACTAATATAATATAGAGAAATATAATATTAACTAACACACAATATAACATGTGCATGTATTAACTATATTGGTTTATATAATGTATTCTATACGGTGTATAATAACGTCACTGTTAAAAAGTAATATAGAGATAACTCTAATTTCAATATCAAATCGGACTACCAATCATATACACATATTCAAACAGCTAATGCCCACAAGATTCAAACAGCTAATCCGATTACCACCTATCCATTTTCTAATTTTTTTTTTAAAAACAATTGAATAAATAGAAAATCAAAACAGAAAATCTTATCTCTATTATAACAGAAAGTTTTGCAAGATCTAATCCGATTACCATCTATCGATTTTCTAAAAAAACAATTCAATAAATACAAAATCAAAACAGAAAATCTTATCTCTATTATAACAGAAAGTTTTGCAAGATCGTATCCTTAAATCAATATCATATCCAAGATTTTCGCATCATAAGCATATATTTAATTTCAACCTGATTGGTCTATAATTTCGGTAACTAATTTTCTTGCGGAAGAGGAAACAATAAATTCAAAANTTATCTCTATTATAACAGAAAGTTTTGCAAGATCGTATCCTTAAATCAATATCATATCCAAGATTTTCGCATCATAAGCATATATTTAATTTCAACCTGATTGGTCTATAATTTCGGTAACTAATTTTCTTGCGGAAGAGGAAACAATAAATTCAAAATCTAATGGAATATATAGATTGAACCAAATTCCTATATTCGGATATATTTTCGAAAGAAATAGAAAAAAAACGGTTTTAACATGGGTTTCAATAATGTGGGCTTTCAACATATTATTTTGACACAGAACAAATGATCAGAAATAATATATTATTAATATAATTATGAAATAGTTTAGATTGGGATGACCAAATTTTAATCTGTTTTATATGTTTATTTTTTATACAAATTTACAAAATCTTTTTATTTTTTTTAAACATGTTAAACTAACTTTTAATTTTTAGGCATATTGAGTCATAATATAATTTTTAAAATAATTTGCGGTCATTTCCATTGTCTTTATATATAGTATACAATTATCTAATTAACTATATATGTTTAATTTTTTTATATGATATCGAAGATTGATCATACAATAGATGGTTTAACATGCCAAAAATATTATATGCTAAGTGAATATAATATGATCAAGTATTACAAGTACATCATTTAATAAAATAAATAATCAACAACCGGAAAATCATACCCGCGCTGGCGCGCGGGTCAAGGTCTAGTACATGTTAAAAAGATAGTTACTTTTATATATAAAAATATAATTACATATGCATTTAATCATATTTCAACTAATAGAAATAAATTGTAATATAAATTAATTTTGCATTGAAAGTCGAAAACGACACAGTAACAAAATAATAGTTTCTGCATCAGTAACTAATATAAAATAGAGGGATTATTATTTGAAACAGAGGATTTAATATATAAATCCGAATGATCATCTCATTAAGTCTTCTTTTCCTTTCTCCTTGTTATTGTCTCGACAAGTTTCATAATTCACAAGCATTAACGTAAGACACAGATGAAAAAGATAATGAAGATATCAAACCACTTTTATTTTATTAAATCAATTCCACTATGAAACAGAGAAATCAGTGACCATCATCCAATTTACTATAGCATACAGATTCAGGAAGAAAACAAATTACACTAGGCCTTGTGTCCGTTACCTGTGGTGACTGCCTGCGAGAGCCCGTATTAGCCCATTCTTTTGTACATTTTGGTTTCTTTAATGGGCCTAAATAAATAATTCAAAATTTAAGTTTTTATTTTAATTTTTCTAATCAGGTTTTAGCTTGAAATCAGATATCTGAGCAAACCTGAATTTAGAGTGAAACTTCCTTGGTTCCAGCAATTTGATTAGAGATCGGTAATGTCTTTATACAATGAGGTTTGGGATTTGAGTTCTAAATAATATGATCAATTAACAACTATTTAGATTTTTAAAAAATTACATAAACATGGTGAAAACATAATTTTAAGACATAAGTTTTCATTGACTGATTCAAGTTAGTGTAAGTAGCACCAGTCATACGTGAATTTTTAAACACTGGTAAAACTACCAGTTATAAATTTTGTTGGTGTAATAATATTCATAATTTGTAAAATTCAGTGCTAAAAATATATATAGACATTTAAATATTATTTCGTGTAAATTAATGTATAGAATGGCTGGTCCTGTTGTCCAAAAATAGTTTAAAATACACATGTTTTCCTCCTACTTTGTAGATTATTAAGTTATAATGCTTCACTAAGTATATTCATTTGTAACATTCCGCTTTTTTGGGTTAATAATCTCCATGAATATAAGTTTCTCGCCTTCTAATAAATCTTGCAATCTAAATTTTTGCACTGAAATTAGAGGAAAATATCAAGTAAAGGCAGTAATGGATTCACACATCCAAACATAGAAAAAGTTTAGCGAAGAAAAAGACCAAAAAGGGTTTGAACATAACAAAATCCTCGGACAGGATCAGCTTGTACTTAATCAAAGTGTCCGGATTTGTCTCCAACTTACATTTGACTCTGTAAAAACCCACCCCTCAAGACACCTATACTTATGATCCCTCTCCTTTAATCATATACATTCCTCTCATCAAACAACAGAGACCTTTCTTTCACTTCCTTCATGGCTGATAGTGCCCAAGTAGTACCCGTTGAGGAACCCGTTGCAACCGTCACCGCCACGGTAACCGCAACAACAGCAACAACAACGGCTGAGCCAGAAGCCAACAAAACCTCCGACCAAATGGAGTCACAAACCGCTAAACCACCCGTTGGAACGTTAGTCACAATCATGAACCTTTTCGCCATCGGTGTACTTCCCATCTTCACCTTCTTTCTATCCCTCACACTCCTCGGCTACGCTGTGTGGCTTCTCTACATGCGTAGCTACGACTGCGAAGATATCCTCGGTCTGCCACGTATCCAGACCATCGCTAGCGTCAGTCTCCTTGCCGTGTTCGTCGTCAGCAATGCGGCTCTGTTTCTACGAAGGAAGTTTCCTATGCCGGCACTTGTGGTGATGTTTGTGATCCTTTTGCTGATGCTGTTCATCGGTTTGGCGTATGCTGGAGTCAATGAGATGCAGAACAGACGGTTTCCGGCGACTGGGACGTGGTTTAAGCTCAAAGTGAATGATGATGTGAACTGGAACAATATTAAATCGTGTGTCTATGATAAAGGCGCATGCAACGAGCTTGTTTACGGATCTCCAAAAGATAACCCTTATAATAGAAGAAAAATTCCACCACTAAAGGTTTGTATATATATACTTTGAGTTCATAACCATCTTTTTATGTGCATTGGTGCATTCCAGCATGCATGATGACATAGGCAATTGAAACATTGACATATAATATACATAAATATATTGTCAAAAAAAAAATTTATGAAGATTCTTACTAAATTTTCTATGACCTTTAAAATCTTAGAAGAAATTTTTTTTTATCAAAATGAATAATGTATATATCAAATTATCACGTTTACAAGCTTTTCAATTAGTTTGAGAGGGTCATGTAGGATACGATCTTTAAACTAGTAGGTTAATCACACAAGTTGTTTTGATGTTTGTTGTTGCTACAGAATGGGTGTTGTATGCCACCAGAGACATGTAACATGGATGCTTTAAACGCAACGTTTTGGTATAGAAGAAAAGACGAGGGACGACCGTTGAAGACGGAGGTGCTGTACGGTGGAATGGTCGGAAGACTAAGTGACTGTGAGCTGTGGAGGAATGATTGGAGTGTGTTGTGTTATGATTGTAGGTCTTGCAAGTCAGGATTCGTAAGATCTGTAAGGAGGAAATGGTGGCAGCTAGGTGTGTTCTTGATAGTCATCTCCATTCTTCTTCTCATTTCTCACCTCTTGATCTTCTTGGCCACCTTTTGGGAACGTTTCAACGGTTCATCATCATCATGATGGTCTTTCTTTTTAGGAGAGTTTTTTTTTTTTCTTTGTGTGGTAAAATAATCTCTTTTTTCTGCATTCGTTTTAGTAGTCAAGCAGATGTTTGTAATAAAGTATAAACAATTGGGTTGATTAGAATCCAAAAGCTAGCTCTTTGGTCCATTGTTTCATCTTTAGAGTAGGGGACTTCAAAGTAACATTGTCTTTAATAAAATCAAATGTGAGTAGAGGACAGCAACATTGAAGACACTTTGTTCTTTCGTTGTCATAACTACCAAAGTACCACCAGAGGAGAGTGATCAGGCTGGATAATTAAAGCTTTGTCGATACTATTTAGGGAAATTGTTATAAAGTGAAATACATCTTTAAATAAAAGGTGAAATAATAGCATCTGGTGAAAGTCTACTTCTTTTTTCAACCTGCTTGCATGCTTCACCTTTACAAAGAATGACCAAACTTGGGAGAGTCAAAGATAACAATTGAAGAGCCTATCTCACTCATCTTGTGAGTGAAGAAACAGAGCGAAGGCCGTGTCTCATGGCTGCTTCCCACACCAAATCAATACGTTCAACGTCTATGGCTCCAACCTCATGATGCTCCCAGCCCTCCAGCATATGAACCACTCCTCCTGCATGGCATGCATGCACAACCCCTCTGTCCATCGTGTACTGCCACAACACGAAGAGTTTTAGTCAGGTGTACCAAAGTATTAAAGAGACAAACAAGACTATATTATTATTCAAACATACCTCGCAGGTTCCAAGTCCTTGAACATCTTCAGGGAGTCTCATTGCAGCTAGATCTCCGTAAGTGCAGTTCCTCCTGAAGTTGAGGATCGGTGGCACCACAAATTGGTGAAAATGCGTTCCTTTAGGAGCCCAGCTCTGCTCCCTTGGCGTTAACCATTTCCCAACGATCCAAGTCTGCATATACATAATTCAAACACTCCAAATTCAATAAATTTACATTTTCATTTACAAAACAAATGAAAACCAGTATAACCCATTACACTATACCTTGCAGTTTTGAGCAGCATTGTATTTGGTCACTTGTACAAGGTAGTTCTGAAACTCAACAGGAGCCTCTTTCTGAATCTTTTGGAATCTCTCCAAAGATAGTGTCAACATCTGAAAATTGGTTCCAACATCTGTCAAACCGTATCTTTAAGACAATGGTTCTTTAAAGATTAGTAAGAAACTTACGAGAACTCTCACTCCACGACGACAGAGGTAAAGAGCAATGGCTCTTCCCAGCTTAGAAGTGGCTCCTGTCAAGAACACCTCTTTCACGTCTTTTGGAATCTCATTGAGGATCACTGCAGCGGTTAAAGTGTTCCCATGGACCACACGAACTCTAAGGTCAGGATGCTTGTTAACAAACAACGTTCCACCACCATTTAAAGCTTCGTTCTGATAAAAAAAAAAAAAACATACAAAATAACCCATTTAGTGTCTTGACACTATATGATTCACTTACTCAAAAGTTTAAGAATTGTGACACAAACCTTGTTGAGAGCAGCCAAGCTGATAACTTTAACACCAATCCTATCAGCCCTAAGTATCGCATTCTCGATCTGGTTATTAATCCCTTGTGTAGCAAACGGTAAAAAGTACTGCAAAAACAGAGGAAAATACTCTGTAAAACACTCTGTTCTCTCCGTTTTTCGAAAGTAAAATTTCAAAAACAGAAGCATTACTTGGAATCCAAATCTAGGAACGCCCCAAGTCTGGCAAAGATTCTTCCTGAGGGTATAGAAGCTGAAAAGAAAAGTCTTTGACCAGACCCACATGCCCAACATCACCATGAACGTGAATGGCCACATAGGCAGCAAAAAGAGCCTTGTTGTGTACGGCATTGAAGCAAACGATCTGAACACAAACGGAGCATGCATAGCCGACATCACATCTACCCCATGAGCCAAGAACACAAACTCCGGCACTCTCTTCCGTTCCCCTACACACAAAATTCAATGTTAGTGTAGGGTAACATTGTATTTATCTCAAGAAGTTTGACTTTGACCAGAAATAGAAAACTCTCACCCACTTTGGTTGAACAAAGTACAAACTCTATATCTACTAATGTCCCCTCATAAATTAGCATTAAACTGTTTGGCATACTTGCCTAATCTATTAGCAGTCTCATTCAAACTAGTTTATTAACAGCTTTGTGTGTTGCTATTTTACCTGCAGACAAACGAATCTTCTTTTGGAGTTCCCACGAGTTTGAATTTAGTGTGTTGCCCAAAACATCAAAGAGAGGCATGAATAGACAAAAGTTGGTCCCCATTTCTTGATGATGCAGACTATGATACCTGCATAAACCCCACCAAGATAAATCATTACACGTAAAAGCATTAAAGATGCTACTAGAAACGTAAAACCACCAATTACTTTCTTTAGACAGATTTGATTGTAAATATTTTTGCTTCTTAAAGTAACAAAAATATATGACAAAAGTCACGTTCGTGTGTTCCTAACCAAATCCAAAAAGTAAAATGACATGTGATATACTTTGCATAAAGGTAAGGTAAGTGTCAACGACATACGTTGGAGTGTAGATGATGTATCTTAGGATTGGAAGTGTCTCGAATAGCTTGTGAGAGAATATTTCAACGTTACAATGACCTAAACATCTTAGGAAATCAAACATAATAGCGTATCCGTAGATCAAGCTTATTGATCCAACACCTAACAAGCAAGATCCAAGCAAAGGAACTCCAGCTACAACACATAAGATAACGCTTTCCAATAACGTCGCATTTCCACCTGCATTAAACAGAGCAAAGTTATTTAACATCAAACAAGAATAAAATTTGAATAAAACTGTTAGAAAATGTACCAGTCATGGGATGAGGAACAGGGGATGCGTGGTGGAAGGAGTGGTAATGCGTGAAGAGGTAGGTGTTGTTATGAAAAGATCTGTGGAGAAAGTAGTATAATGGCTCTGAGATGGTCACATGTAGCACAATTAATGCAACTAGTCCTTTCGTGTTCCACAGTGGTATACTGTTCATCGTCACCAATGGAATAGATATGTAACAGATTATGCTAGCTATTATTGCTTGCAGGAGTATGTAGTTGTCCCTGAAATAAAAAAAAGCCCACAGATCAAAACAATACCTTTGGTAGTTTATATGGGGTCTTTAAGACCAAACTAAGAACAGAGTAACGCCAAAACAAGTTGCTTAAAACGTTTGATTTTAGGACAAGTTTTTATTATTATATGTATAACACATCCCCAAAATATTATTTTGAGAGGGATTTACCAGTGCCATTCGTGATCAATCTGCTTAAAGTCGACACCATTAGGGTTAATCCTTAGAGTCCGAGTCACCCAGAGCATGTTGTTGTAAACGCTCCAGAGAACATGAAGGAGACCTTTGAGTCCACAGATGATGAGGATATGAAGACACCAAAGAGCCCTCGAGTAGTCTTGTTCGTATGCCCATGAGTATACTACTTGTGCAGCTAACGGAGCGTAGAGAAGATACTTCACAGACAGAAAAAAACACAAACCATATAGTAAGATTTAGAAGAGAAACCAAAAGTTTTTTTTTAAAATTATTTTGACAAATTATCCAAACCTTTAGATTGCCAAAGTTTCCCCAAGGCCAAGCTGATAAGGTAACCATTCTTCTCTTAAACGCTTATCCTTACCTCCTCGAAGTTAGAGATTTCTTGATTTGTTTATGACTAGATCGTCTCTCTCTCTTATTGGTCTATAACCTTAAAGATTGCTACAGTTTCAAGCGATCCTAAGAAAAAGATGTTGCTCTGTTTGTGGAAGTCAAAACAAAGAGAGAGAGGGGGAGAGATTTAACGATGGGGTTCTCACTGATCTCAAGAAAAAGGTATGGAGAAAATTTTAGTTGAAAGTTGTGTGTTATGTGACATTATTGAGAGCCTCGAGCTCTGGTTATTTATATAAGCATTTAAACTAGGATGGCCAACTACACCCGAAATGTATTATTTATTGTCTCTATAACAAAATTCAAATAACTTTTTTTTTTTTAAAAACATATGCTTGCGAAAATCGTTTTTAAGTCACAAATAAACAGAAAATAATATCAATTTTCGCCTGAAAAGAAAACTCTTACAGCAATCAAAATCTGACTGTAGTCAGTGACAATTAATTTTTACTCTGTTCACTCGTCGTATGTAAGGCGAATTTGGTAGCAACATTTATACTTTTGTTACTAGGAACTATGAATATTTTTACTTTGGTGAATAGTAGATTTTTTTCCTTCGAACTTTTAGTTTAGAGCTTATTTAATTTGCTCCCTCCCACAAAAACTTTGATAAGTCTTTATCTATATAACAAAACTTTAGAAAACTGTATATCAAACTGTGAACATTTTTGGCCAATAAATCAAAAAGTAGTATTTTAATGATGTTTGCCAATAAAAACAAGAACACTGTGATATATAATAGAAACGAAACACAAATTATAGATTCAAAAGCAGAAAACAATTTTTATTTTTTATGATTGGTACTGTTTAAGATTCATATAATGTGAAAGGATACCAACTTTTTTGCAAAAGAAACAAAGGATACCAACATTTTGTAACTCACATAGATCTAATATGAGAAATAAATTTGATATATTACAAAATCACTGGAAATATTTGTACATGGAATTATATAAAATTATATAATAAACTTTTTAATGCACATATATAAAGTTAATATGTTTTATTTATGTACCTGAATTTTTATATTATGGTATCTATAATTGAACCCAGTTTTAATATATTGAAAGTTTAACTATCTGCATACATATTTTTGCACCAAAAAAACTATCCGCATATATATTTAAAACTGTTCACATATCTAATTTGGAACAGACTTCAAATGGGATTTTTGATAGAATAATTACTCATGTATTGTATACAAAATCAAAGGAAATAAAAATATTTCTTATTGTGAATAGCCAAAAAACGAATGCATAATCATAAACGAAACATATACTATTTAGGTTTCTGTTTTCCATTATGGACCTAATCAACAAAAAATCAAAACATTAATATAATACTCTATTCTCTGCGTTTCTCAAAAAAATATAATTTTGACATTTTTTTACAGATTAAAAAAGTAACTAATATGTATTCATGTTTTTATTAATTACATATATATAATCAGTAATATTTGAGATGTACTAAATTGTTTATAAAATTTTGAAATTAATATTGAACTGAAATTAAGTGTAATTTCTACTGAAATTTTAAAATGATATTTCTGATTCATAAAAAACTAAAATAACATTTTTTAAGAAAATAAAGCCCTTTCTCAAAAAAACACTTTTTAAGAAATAGAATATTAACTAATTTTATCATTTGATTGTATTATTTCAAATATCTAATTTTGGAACAGACTTCAAACGAGATTTCTGATAGAATAATTACTCCTGTATTGTATACAAAATGAAAGGAAATAAAAATATTTTCTTATTGTGAATAGCCAAAAACGAATGCATAATCATAAACCAAACATATACTATTTAGGTTTCTGTTTTCCATTATGGACCTAATCAACAAAAAAATCAAAACATTAAGTATAATACTCTATTCTCTTCGTTTCTCAAAAAATATAATTTTGCCATTTTTTACAGATTAAAAAATAACTAATATGTATTTATGTTTTTGTCAACTACATATATTTAATCAGTAATATTTGAGATGAACTAAATTGTTTATAAGATTTTGAAATTAATATTAAACTGAAATTAAGTGTAATTTGTACTGAAAATTTGTACTGAAATTAAGTGTAATTTGTACTGAAATTTGTACTGAAATTAAGTGTAATTTGTACTGAAAATTTAAAATGATATTTCTAATTCATAAAAAACTAAATAACACTTTTTAAGAAATAGAATATTAACTAGTTGTATCAAACATAATTAATTGTTTTGTAAATATTCCTGATTGTATTATTTTAATACGACATATACACAAGGCTCACAGCTGGACCCTCTCTCTCTCCCACACACACACGCATTTAATGTTAGGTTTACGGTTGAAGCAGCGATGGTTACACTTCTACCTCTCGGTGGCTTCTTCGTACACTCTAATCATCTTGTCCAGTTTCTATTCACTCTTATCTTTTTTCTTCCCATTTTGTTTTACATTTCTTTTATATTCCAAGTGGTTTTCAAACCACAAATTAATCAGCATTCGTGCCACGTTGGGTACAATACTGGTACAGGTAAATCTGGGCATTCGGATATTCGGTTTGGTTCCGGGTATATTGGGTAAATCATTCTTATACCCAATAAGTACTTATGAGGTTTCGATACGGTTTTGGTTCGATTCCGGGTACTCATTCAATATATAAATCAAATATATATAATATATTAGTTAATATGTTAATTTAAATGATTTAGTAATTAGACGCTTACATATTCGTCACTCCAACAAGAGTTCGAATTAATAAAGTGTTAATTTTATAAATATTTATTGTATTTTAATATAGAAATATTATATATCTCTATAATATTATTTGAGAAGTCACTTTCTTAGGTGTCGCACTCACGTTAACTCTCACGCTGGTTGATTACTATGATACCCCTAATGAATTAAAAATATATTTAAATATTATTATTTCCTTTTTAAAATCGTCCAAATAACAATTAAAATAAAAAGGAAATATTTATAAAATTTACAAAACTATTTAAAACGAAAAATAAGTATATATATAATATGGTTTCATAAAAAAAGAAAGTTTACAAAATAGTAATATTTAACTTAAATATATTTTTAAATAACATAAATTATACTTTTAAGTAATAAAATAATTTATATCTATATCTTCCTAGATGAAAAAAATATTTGTATATAATGTGTTTTCATTTAAAAATTTCATACAAATAATCTTGATATTAGAAAAAAATATTTTTTCTTTAAAAAAAGAATTTAAACTATAAAATATATATTTTCAAATTAATTATTTTTTGATATATCTATCTATTTTATTAGATGATTACATAAAATAATTATGTAACATAAACTGATATATGGTTAACTGACAAAAAAATAATAATTAGTATTATTAAGTCACTTTCTTAGGTGTCGCGCTCACGTTAACTTTCACGCTGGTTGATTACTATGATACCCCTAATGAATTAGAAATATATTTAAATATTATTATTTCCTTTTTAAAATCTTCCAAATAACAATTAAAATAAAAAGGAAATATTTATAAAATTTAAAAAATTATTTAAAACGAAAAATAAGTATATATATAATATGGTTTCATAAAAAAAGAAAGTTTACAAAATAGTAATATTTAACTTAAATATATTTTTAAATAACATAAATTATACTTTTAAGTAATAAAATACTTTATATTTATATCTTCATAGATGAAAAAAATATTTTTATATAATGTGTTTTCATTAAAAAAGTTCGTACAAATAATCTTGATATTAGAAAACAAATATTTTTTCTTTAAAAAAATAATTTAAACAATAAAATATATATTTTCAAATTAATTATTTTTTGATATATCTATCTATTTTATTAGATGATTACATAAAATAATTAAGTAACATAAACTGATATATGTTTAATTGACAAAAAAATTATAATTAGTATTATTGAAATAGTTTTTAGTATGTTTATTTGATTATAATATCTTACAATTACAGCACTTATATAATATAATTTCTCAAAAACAATCACATTTTTACTGCATATTTTAATAGATGTTAAAAACAAAACTAAAAATAAATTTAGTAATAAACATCTTTTGATCAAATAACTACAGTTATTTTAATATATCATAACACTATAGTTTAACAAGGTAGATAATAACTAATAGTTAAAATTATCTATTTTCTTAATAACTCTTCTGATGTTTAATTTCTGTTTTTATGTTTGTGGAATTTAATATAACTATAATCTAATACTTAAAGCAAATCAGAATTCCTTATTTTTAAAATTATTTTTAAAAAATTCAGTTAATTATTATCCAGTCAATATGTGGCATAAATTATTTAGAATTTATAAAATATTTTAATTATTGTAAATATTGATATGTGTTCATAAGCTTGCAAAATTTTATTATTACTTATGTATTTTAGAATCAGACACTTTAGTTTTTATTTTTTTCGTTCTAAGCACAAAAAATCTTAAAATACATAATCTTACTAAGATATACTTATATTTCGTAGATAACAACCAACATAAATGTAAATAAAATAATTAATCAAAAATTTAAGATATTTAGAATAAAAAAGATTATAGTTGAATTCATAGAAATAGAAAAAATCCAATATATATATATATATATATATATATATATATACCCAAATGATAAAACTGACTAAATATAATATATATAAAATTATAATAACTAAAATAATACAATATTATTAATACAAATTATACATACAAACTATAAATTAATATAAAATTTAAAGTAAATATCAATCAACTATTATAATAGATTTATTTCTTAAATATTTAAGCCCGTGCATGAGCACGGGAAAATCACCTAGTTTATAATATAAGAGAATAAATAAAACATAATGTGGTCTGGTGGTAAATATTTATTTACTCTTTGTATCCAACCTGTGTTCAAGTGGGCCTGATGTTATTTTATTTTATATTAAAAAAATTTAACTTGTTTTTTCGGA